TTGAACCTGATAATAAATGCTTTGGAGTACTTGCCATGGACCACATTATTTGATATGGTTGTATCTCAATTCACTTCTTCCTCCCTCTCATTTGGGAAGATTCACTGCAGTCTTTCTCTGTCCCCAGCTTTCAGCCCACCTGCAAGGCTAGCATAGGGTCTAACCACGCCCTCCAAATACTCCTACCTCCCTACTCTCGTCTCCCGCTGACTCAGCAATCGCAATGGCCAAGTCCAGTTCATCTCTGAATCCTCAGGACAGTATTCTGGCCAAGCTAGTATGTGCTCAGTGACAGGATTTGGGCCAAAGTGGACTCTTACATCATTGAGAGGAGACATTTGATGAAAACTTTCGCGAGGCAGTGGCTCTGCTTTTCTGGTCCGGAGAACACATGAGATTGGAGAGTGCCAACAGATTCATGGCCTTACCTGAACATGACTGAGACCCCCAGAAATGAGAAAAGCCCCTAGAGGTCTTTCTGCCCAGGTTAATGCTGACCTAGACTTCATAACAAGGCAGCAGAGACATCGGGGTTAAGAGATTCAGCTTTGGGCCCACACAGTGAGAATTCGAGACAGATGACCGATATAGACAGACACACATATAGACAGACAATAAATTAGGTTAAAGAGATACAGACAGATAATATAGACAAATAAATTAGGTAGATGAGATTAGATATATGGATAGATATAGAGATAGTTCTATAGATTTATAGACTGCTTTCCATAAGTCTTAGATGTCAGACAGAAACAGAGGGACAGATAGAGGAAAAGGAATAAACTCGAAGGAAAACAGAGGGTATAACCCAAATTCATGCAGAATACTTATCCTGTGATTCATGATTCTTACAAAGTAATGGCAACTTTAAAAGTATCCAAAAAAAAAGCCAATAGCAAAGGCTTAGCCCCTATAGGTTGCATCAGAATCCAATGGGAAAAGAGAACCACAATGGGTACTGAAAATAGAGGGGATATAATGCCGAGAACTGGTCTCAGGTATAGGATGCCTGAGAGACCAGACAGACAGGGCTAAGAAAACCTAAGGTAGGGTGCCTGGGTGGCTCAGTCGTTAAGCGTCTGCCTTCGGCTCAGGTCATGATCCCAGGGTCCTGGGATCGAGTCCCACATCGGGCTCCCTGCTCTACGGGAGGCCTGCTTCTCCCTCTCCTGCTCCCCCTGCTTGTGTTCCCGCTCTCGCTATGTCTCTCTCTGTCAAAAAAATAAATAAAATCTTTAAAAAAAAAAAAAAGAAAGAAAGAAAACCTAAGGTAGGCAACAGAATGAAGCCCTCCCTAACACTCTGGGGCTGGAGCTGGCAGGGGAGGGCGGGATTCAAATTTTCCCTGCCAAGGTCCAGAGAGTAAGTATTCAGGCTTCAGGCTGTTAGGTCTCTGCCCCAACTACAGTACTCTGCAGCTGCCAGGTAGAGACAATGCTTACCCAGATGGGTACCGCTGTGTTGCAACATTACTTGCAAACGCAGACATAGGGCTGGATTTGTGCCCTTGGGTGAGGTTTTGCAAGCCCTGGACTAGGGTCAGACTCACCTGGTAGAAGATGAAACCATGGCAGGTCTAAGGGAAAATGCAAAATACTGTCCATGTCCAGACACCACATGAAACAGAGGGAAAAGGGAGATATACCGTAGAAATTCTCCTACCCGGTAGTATCCTACCAATTCCTCTCATGGTATAAAACCAGCTGGAGGCCACCTGACAGGGGAACCTAGGAAACATATCCTGTGGTTATCAGCCTCTGTAATAACAGACAGGAACAAAGACAGAAGAATATGAAGCTGAACAGCCCAAAGACTGGCACCACTAGTCAACTAATTTCATAGAGTTCGTATAGGTCAAGTCTCTTACTTTGGATTACTGGTATACCCAGTATAAACCAGTGGTCAAAAGAGGGGCGATGTAAAAAATCGTTATTTATCACAGGACAAATGCATGTACAATAAAGGAAATTCTAGGAAAGGGGAATTGTGATCAGCCACAGGACCAGCAAAGATCCAAAGAAAGCACAGGGGAAGGGTGTGGGTGTGGGTGCAGATTTCTAAATACAATCAGTGATTTCTCAATTCCATCTTTTATCATTGTCGGGTTTTTTTTTCCCCCATTAAACTATCTGATATTAAAGAAGTCACTGCTGTTAATTTTCTCTAAGTGTTAAATGCATTAGAAAGAGAGTAAGATTTGGAAACAGGTCTACTCACAGAAAAGATTATGTATAATAAATAGCTAAAAAGAGCTATTTATCTGATTCAGGCCCTGTTAAATCAAATTCTCAATTCTCATGTTAAAATGCTCATCAGAAGGTAAACAGAGGCTCTGGATGAAACCAAAACCTACTTTTTTTAAAGGCAATCTCTACGTATTTACTACATTACGGTCAAGGTCAATGGAGTAAGAAAACACTTTAGAAGAGAGTCTGCCATTCTGGGCCCCTTCGGATGGTGCAAAATTATAAACTTATGGGGTATAAGAGGCAATTACCCAAATAAAGTTAAGCCATTAAAAGACTAAGATTGAGGTGAAAAAGTCAATGACATTTTATAGAGAATACATTACTTAGGACTAGTAAAATTTTAGATACTCATAGCGTAGTAATCTTCTCTATGTCAAACTTCTGTTGCCTCATTTTTAAATGTAATATGGAAAGCCTTAAAAAAAAAAGAAGCTTACAGTTTAAAAAATACCAAGATAGGTCGATCAGGGTATTTTAACTACTTTTACGGAGGGTTAATCATCGCGCCTACAGATTTTCCATGGGACTCATTTTCATAAGTCAAATTAGAAGCTCCCTCACTTCCTCCGCAAAAACTGCCAACTCTAAGCAGCAAAAAGTCAACCTAACAACTGAAATTCTTCACCAACACATAAACTGCATCTCTCATGTAAGATCATGAGTGGCATTCAATGAGCTCTACTCATTGAGGGTTTTATTAAACACAGGCCCCAAGTCTGGGCATTTATTAAGTCTCTGAGCCCAGCGCACCGAAGTCAAAATTCTGGAAACGACCACAAGAGGGGAAAAAAGAACACAGCAGCTCAGTTGTAAGACACAAGTCTGCAGTACAGATATAAATACTGCTCTCCAGGATCCTCTGCGCCTTTCGTATTTGTGATATCTTTATCCAGGCCGTCAACATTTCTTCTCTCCCTCCTCATTCCTTTGGTCATTCTCCCATAACCTCTCCTGTCCTCCCTAGACTCCAATATTCCCCAAGCTCACAATTTTTCTTTCTAGCCTTTATGTTCTCCCACAAACTGCCAGAGCTCTTCCACAGGCCGGAGCTCCCTAACTAAAGATGGTTATTGATGTATACTACCAGTGTTTTAGTGCAGCAGGAGAATCAATAAACGAGAAAATACTGCTTTGTCAGGCTTGTCCAAAGCATGCCGGGAAACTTTACTGCTTCAGATGGTTACAGAAGCTCTTAATATGGGAGAGCAAGAGCGGGGCTCCCTTCTGTGGCAAGAAATGATGTTCTTCTACCCTCTAGTGACTATAAAGGAATAAGACAAAAGTTGGAGGAATTTTTGAGACAGCTTCACGTTATTCATGTTCTCTAAATTTTATTTCTAAAAAAAAAAACAAAACCAAAAAAAAGCCCCACAAAAAAACAGACTTGTAAACCAAGTGAACTGGTTAATAAAACAACTTATTGTCATTTTTAGAGTGTATAAAATGCAAAGGATATACATTTTATTAAGAGGTGGGCTTTGATTCCTTTGGATTTTTTTTTTTAAAGATTTTATTTATTTGACAGAGAGAAACACAGCGAGAGAGGGAACACAAGCAGAGGGAGGGGGAGAGGGAGAAGCAGGCTTCCCGCCGAGCAGAGAGCCCGATGCGGGGCTCGATCCCAGGACCCTGGGATCATGACCTGAGCCGAAGGCAGATGCTTAACGACTGAGCCACCCAGGCGCCCCCCTTTGGATTTTAAAAAAAGGTTTGGAAAGTTTGTCTTTCTTCCCAAATGACTAGTGCTAGTCAGGGGACAATTCTGCCCCCCTCTCTCTCTCTCTTTCACACACACACACACACACACACACAAACACACACTTTCACAAACTCACAAAACCTTTGTTTCAATTGCCTTATTTTACAGAGAAGTAAACACCTGAAGTACCATGAGGTTAGAAATGAGTGGGCATGCATTTGTGCATTTAAGTGTGTGTGTCAATGTATATACAATGTATATACAAGGACTGCAGGGGTATCTGCCAAATACACACACACACACACACACACATCACGGTAACCTCCATATTGGTTCTTTCTCTTTAAAAAGTAGCAGAGCAGTGAAATTAAGGTATGAATACTTTTTTGGTTTTGTTCATGTTCCCACCAATTTTGACATGTAGTCACTCACAACGTACTAATTTAATAACCAGACAGATTAACAATGCTTTCTTACCTTGTACACAGAGAGCTTTTACGAATTGGACAACAGTTTATAATTGCTTAAAAAGATACTAGCAATGTAAAAAAAAAAAAAAAAAAATCACTGGTACTTCATGAAGAAATCTTTCAAGAAAACTCTCTGCAACAAAGGTAACAAATGGTAAAATAAGACTAATAGAAGAGAGATTTATAAAATATACCACATACTCCTCTCCATTAATCTTTTCATTGCCCCTACAACACCAAAGCTAGTTTCCATCTAGTGGTATATAACTTCCTAAAGGACGAATTCTAACAACATTAAACTCCAAATAATCCGGGCTTAATGAAGTGTAACATTCTAACATGCCTGGTACATATAAAATGTCACCACGAAAACATGTATAAGTTCCAACATCTGGCTATGCCCTTAATTAAATGAAATTTAAAAGGGAGGTTGTTTCCTTCTTATTTGCAGCAAGAGTGAGAAGAAGAGAATGCTGTTACTATGTATAAAGGTTGGATAATACCAATCAAGTGCACATCTGTGTTTGCAACAAAGATGAACTTTTCCCCAAATGACGTACAAAAAAAGAGAAGTATATTTACCTTGCTGGTACTCAATCGTTTCCGATTTGACCAACGCTGGAGATTGAGTCCATTGGATGGTGAAAAATGGCAAAAGGAAAGCGAGAAATAGAATCATTAATAACATAATTCCGTTATTATATTAGTTAGATGGTGCACACACTATTCAAACAACTAACACCCAAGTTCTCAGGTTACAGAGAAAACACATTTGAGCAAGAAAATGGAAACAGAAAAATCACATTTCTGTGGTTGTGTGACATCATTTTCTCCTACTATTCAATAAGAAGAAGACAGGAAATATGAATACTGCTCAATCTTTAGAAGTACCAGTTCTTAGTATGAGAAGGCTCTCGACCCTTAAAATGCTTTTAATTACCTTAAAGCTCTATAATTTCATGTCTAAAAGCAAATTGCAAAGGCAGATTTCTCCTACTTGAAATATTTAGATAGTATTCTAAAAATATTTAAGAAGTTCATGGACAATGTTAGTGCATGCTTAGGCTTCCATACTTTTAGATACTGAAAAAAAAAAAATCATTCCATTTACGCCCAATGATCAAATCTCAATCCTTAAGATAACAGGAGGAAAAAATCTGAGCTGTTCCTGCACAATTAAGAAAAATAGGCTAATACAGCACCAAGGGAGGGAAGAACAAATTTTCTGAACAGCAAGTAACTTCACCACTGTTCTCTTCTGATCTCTCATTTGTCATGCTAAGACTGCTGAATTTCGTCTACAATTAAAATTCTTTCCTAGCAAAATCCTCTCATTACCCGTCACCGTCCAGGACTGTGAAGCTCTACTCTGGCTGGTTAACCAGCTAACTGGATGTTAAAACTTGGATAAATTTGGGAGATTACAGCGCAATTATGAATCTAATCGAGCAGACCACATTTACTATTATGCTTAAGAAAAAATACCTTTAGGCAAATGACCTATCCACTTTGCCAATACGTCTTCGCAATCAATTAGAAACCAGAAAATAAACAGTCTTTGGGGGAAATGCACTTACATTCCAGTGACCAGCAACTAAAACACTGTACAGAAATGACTTGAACATACTCTTTATTAAAAACACCTCCCCTGGTGAAACTGTGAGCTCCAACATTTAGCATGTGCTGGGGAGTTAATAGATGTTACAACCTGGGTATTAAAATCAGTTCTTTTTCTATTTTCCCAACATCATACTGACAAATATTTTCACCCAAGCAACCACCAAAATTAATTACCATCTTAGAGGTACACCTGTCTATTTAGGGCTCTCTGACATATGACTCATTTGATTTTTTTTAACAATCATAAAAGATAAACAAAATAGATAAGGAAATTAATGGAAAATAAATATCCCTGTCAGCTTACTACACTACTAAGAGCTACCATATATTGACAGCCTACCCCATGCCAAACACTATATTTGATAATCTCCATCTTCACAATCCTGTAAAACACTTTTTTAATCTCCATTTCACACGTGAGGAAATTGTAGTTGAGAGAGGTTAAGTAACTCTGTGAATGTGACCTGATCACATTGAGAAGTCTACTTAATTTCTCAAAGCATGAAAGTAGCAGAGTTGGGATTCAAATCCAGGCCGTCTGATGACCAAGCCCACAATTCCAACTACAACTCAAGAAAGAGAAACAGATGGTGGGTTTGTCAGCCTTCCACCCAGCACCTGCCTTCTGACTCTACCATGTCTATATATACACTTCAATCCCTGGACGAAAGGGTGAGTTCACTGACATTCTGCTTGTGTTCAGATTTTTGCCAGTCTGGTTCTCAAGTGACAAAGACTGCCAGGATGGAAATTTACAAACAAGTGATTCCCAATCGAATGATCTCTTATCTTTCCAGTCTTGAGTGTTAGTTATTGCCATTTAAAAACCCCACATAAGGATGTCTTTAAATATTCACTTAGTGAAAAGAACAAATGTTTTCTGATACCTGCTCTATCCCCAAAGGCCCCCATACGCACTGTGTAAGTTGAATAACCACACACAGCCCGGGATAGATGATTCCTTGCTTGGGGATACTTTGATCAAGTACATAAACAGAAAACTAAAACTACTGATCAAAACAAATGAGAGCAGGCAGGGTTTTCTATATTATAATGCCCCATAAAATATATGTACAAGAAATATATTGTACCCTAGACCTCTATCAGACAAGCAAAGAACAAAGAAAACGAGAAAGTGCAGAAGCAGGCAGATATACAGTCTGGCAAACTCTTGAAAAGAGGTGGGGGTGGGGAGGGGTCAAAGGAAAAAATGGCCAAACTCAGTAAGATGACAAGTGTGGCTCCTTTCAGGATTCTGAAAAGTTTTTCTTTACAAAAGCAAATTCAGGCAGCATTTAGTATTAATATCTCTGCAATCTGAAATACATTTTAACTAAAATGGCATTACTCCAAATTTTGGCAATGTTTAAATACATTTTAAGGGCCCTATGACTGCTAGACATAATCCAATATACCAGAGAAACATTCACAACAGGAATACATAGGCAGCTATCTTCATGAGAAATTATCCAACTTTCCAAGCCCCACTTAAATATGTAAGAAAATTTTCAGAACATATTAGCCAGCAATTGCTCAATGATGGGGCCAATGATACTTATTTACATTGCATGTTATTTCAGCGTGGCGTCCAGATCAAGGAACCAATCACCTACTACACACACTGACACTGAATCTAACAGCAATACTGTCAAGGCTGAGAGAAGTGAAAGAAAACCTTCCTTCACTATGTTGGATAGAAAAAAAAAAGTTTATTTTCAACATCAATTTAAGATACTTTAACATCACAACATCAGCTTTATTAAGGTTTCCAGTTTCAAAAGGACTATTTCTTTAAAAAAAATTAATAAATGGGAAGGTTTCTTCCCAGTTACTGTCAAGTAAATGCTCATAAGTAAAGAATTCAAATTAAAAATAGCAACGATTGAGTTGACTTTCTGGCAACTGAAAAATCACTGTACAGCTTTGCTATTCCTTTCTGCTATTTTCTGTGAGTTTACTAGTAAATTAGTCTTGATTTTCACCATGAAAATAAATTACAACTAAAAGCAAAGGTGATAGCAAAATGAAGAATATTCTCCTCATCGACCCCACTGACTCAATTCGAGAAGTACTCCTGGAGGCCTAATTTATAAACAGGCTTCAGATTTTCATACCAGAGTCTAAACATGCTTAAATTTGAACACATTCTAGTCCTTTTCCAAGTCGGTATTTTAGTTGGCTTTTGAAACACCTTTCAAATAATTTATGATCAAAGATGCTTTTTGTTCTTATTTTAATTCTTGGAATTATAAGGTCTGGCCCCTGCATATAAAATTAGATTATGATATGTAGTCACATATTTGCTCATAAGAACACAGTCCCAGTCAAATCGTCATAAAATCCAATGCTTTGTTGGTGTTAGAGAGATCTTCAATAGGCCATGCATTAACTAGAAACATCCATGTAATAACAGATCAGAGGATATAAAAATTTGTATCTTCCCAAAAGTATTCTCAACAGAAAATGTGATAGCTAAAAGAAAACAAACTGGAATGCTACAAATATGTATTTGATCACCTTAATAATTTACAATGTAATAATTAAATCCCAGGAACTGCTTTGCATAACCGAATAATGTCTAAGTCATCCAGTACTTAAGAAAATAATTAATGGAAACCTTACCACTTAGGAAAAGCATATGCATTTTAATAATAGCAACATCCACATCCCTAGCCAAATTAGAGATCATTCCTTAAAGAATTTTCTTTCCAGAGTTCCAAAAGAAAGGATGCATAGAACCACAGATACGTACTTTACATCTTGATACAATTGTTTGTTTCCCTCCAAAAATAATTACAAAAAATGCCAACCATCTGGTAACCCAGTTATCAAAGGACAATTGCAGTGAAGAATTTTGAAAAGAACAAAGGGTCATACTTACATGTCTCTTGAAATCACCGTATTTTACTACTAGGCTCAAATTTAATACAATCACCCCCATATCCTCTTCTAAACTGTTTGGGTCTTCCAATTTTAAAATATGTTCAGTCGTTCTACAAGCAAAATACAACAAATAACATTAGCACTTATGGGCAGTACTAGATAGTCTTATAATGCATCGAGAGCTTACAGAAAAAGTCTCCTACCTCTGCATAAGAGTGAGACACGAGTTTTAAAAAGCACCAAATTCAGTAAAAATAACCCAACCATCTTCAGAGTAGGGGAACTGTTTGGCATTGCCTAATTCAACAGTTGGTTAATGGATTCTTTTACTGCCCAAATAAAATTTAAATACTTGTTTTATTTTTAGGTAAGGTAGGTTAATGAACCTGAATATTAACAGTTCAAAATCCAATACACATTTCAGAACACACTGTGGAAGATTTAATATCCGACTCAATCGTTTGGGAGAGAAGAGCTAAAATCATAGAAAAATTCACATTTTAAAGCACGCTTTCATTTATTCAGATTTTTTTTTTTGTCATTTAATCTAAACAAATGTCATTTAACGTTATCTTGAGTTCCCTCTGAACTTCAAAATCACAATTAGAAGGTAAAAATACAGTACCTGTTAAGCTCAAGATCTTTGAGAATGACAAATGCAGAACCCATGAAATCAGATGTAGTTAAATCTCGATCATATACCTACAAAGAGGGAAGAGGCCAGTAACACATTAATAAGGTAAACCAACTGAATTTATCAAACTATTAATAAATGCAATAGGCTGGGAATTTTGAATTCAGTCTCCTAGGTCTAAAAAATAATTTGCATAGTATAGTTAAGGAGGAATTAGGCCAAGCCGATGGTGAGAACAAAGATTATTCAGACTTGCCCATTTTGCCTACCACAGCCAAAACAACAGCAGAAAATACTCTTAAGGCAGTACTCATATGCACTAAAATGTTAATGCACAATGGACCGCTCTCTGTAGTTTAAATGGTCTCTCATTAAAATTTAGTATTTTCCACGGTGAGCAGATCTGCCAATTAAATAGAAATTTGCTAAATATTCTATAGCAATCCCATCCTGCACTCAACTCATGCAGTTTTAACCCAGACGTTAGAGCAATTGATGCTTACAACCAGTAGCTTAAAGCTCTATTAAGTATAAAGTTATTCCTAATGAGAAAGGCTTCCCTACTTGTCGCCACTACACCGGCTGTAATAATTCCTCCATGTGCAGTAAGTTTAAATACAATCAATGGAGATATTATTTTCACTCTGATTTTCTGTGGAGTATATACCACTGATCTGAGAAAAACATACAGTTTCAACAAAGGGTATAAATAATCCCTTCCACACTAATATTTTTCACCCAGAGCTTAACAATAATAAAAGAATTTGGGGACATTGTCTTTTTAAGGGGGCAAAGATTGCTGAGAAATCAACGTTTTAAACCAAAGAGCAGATCTGAAAGCCATCTGTGATTACCTTCACATGGAGCTTTTGATCAAGGCTTTGAATTGGAAGTACAACTATCTCATCCCAAACTGGGTTCAAGTTCTTATATATGACTTTACTTTTGTACAGCGTCTTCCCATTCAGCTTAAATTTCACATAGGGATCGCTTGTGCCTTTAAAAGAAAAGAAAAGGGAGCAAGACAGGTTTTAAAAATATACGTTAAAGCCCAGGATCTCCATTAAGTAAAGATTCTTTCCACACTGCCCTGGCTCAAAGAATTTCACTGAGCACACCCAGGACAAATGTCTCCCTGTGCAGGGATTGAAGGCCCCAGAGGTGGAGAGGAGAGAAAAATGAAACAATTTGGGGTAAATGACCGATTCTTCTTTGCCTTTCGTGGTAGAATACAAATGCGCTCCTTGAGCTTTTTCTGTTTGGTTTCCTTCTGGGTAAGTCATCACTACACTACCCACAAAAATTCCAGAAACAAAATCCACCGGCACCAGCCGACGGTGTCAGGAGTCCTGGGAGAAACCCACCCCTCCTAAGAAGGGCAGCAAGTCCGTGAAAAGGGAAAGAAACCATTTTCAAACACTTGGCCAGATGGCTGACTCAACAGAACTCTGTACTTTCGAACATAATCATAATAAATAAATCTCTGAAACCACTGGTTCAAAAGATGGGGCCACAGGACGAAGACAAGAACTGGGGGCATACAGATTAAACTGACAAAGTTGCCATTCTTTGCCGTCTGCTGCACCTGCAGGAAAGCCAGAGAACATTGTCACACCAGCCAGGCCACCCACACCAGCCAGGCCCTCAGCTGGCCCCAGGGCCGACACCCCTGACCCGCCCAGCTCCTCCCAGGGAGCTTTGAAACAGACGCCAAAAAGAAAGAATAATGTCCCTCCAGCTACGCTATCCAAAGCAGAAAGAAGGGCTGATGACGAACCCTCCTCCCCACTTCCAGATCAGTTTGGGGTGGGGTGGGGGGGGAGGCTGTAAACATAAACCGTGAATTCTGTGTTGTGCATGTCTGTTGCATGGCTGTAAGTACGCCATCATACTTGGGACATACTTGTGAATTAATACCCAGTGAATGGTGAAGAAAGAAGGCACCATCAGTGAGGAGAGAACTGGAGGCCAGCTGATAATGCCACAAAAAAAGAAAAAAAAAAAACCTAATTTGAGGAGTTAGGATATTATAATTGACCGCGAAACAGACAATCATGAGTAAGTGCACAAAGACCAACCTATATTCCCTGATACATATCCCAGGTGCCGCGGACGGTGCCCAACACAGGTCCCATATATTTATGGACATGGATTCCTGCTTTAAAGTCAAGCCAAAAGAGTCGAAGATATTATGTCAAAAATTAATTAGGCTACTCTGTTGCAAACTTTTACCAAATCATTAATACCTGTCCTTCATTACCTTAGGCTTTTATTTTCGTTAGCTCCTTTTTTTGCAGGGGGGTGGTTTCTATTTAGCTGCCATATTGAAAATGACTGAACACAAATGCAATATACCTCCCCAATTATTCCAACAGAAAGAGATTTCCCTAGAAAGCAAGATAATACACATCATTTAGAAGCCTTCATAGATTACCCAAGGTATAATCTGGGTGGTAGCCTTCCGGTATTGCAAGACTTCTAACTCTGAGACGAAGAAATGAAACCACACGCATACAAACACACGTATTCGACTCTCGCATTTTAAGTTTGGCAACCCAGGGACGGAAGCCCCCGACGGTCTGTTTTAAAGACTGGGACACACACACGCCCAGTTTTCACTGGCAGCTCTGAACAGGACAGTAAAAAGGAATGCATTCACAGCCGTTCAGTGGCCTAGTCACTAGTGAGTGAGCAATCTTCCGCGCCCCCCCCCATTCCCCTTTATAGTACATGGAGAACACCTCTTGCAAGCCAGACTTTAACCGTCATTCTGATATATATATTAAAAAAAAAAAAAAAATTGGGGGTAAACTATAATAAAAAGAGGCCTTTAATTAAATGAAATTGCCACTCTGGGATCGGGCCTTCATGCTTGTCAGCATGCTCTCAAAATAAACATCTCAAAACCGGGCCTCCGTAGTGTCACTTTCTCACAGGCAAAGCACCCTGGGTAATCCCCAGGCATCCTGACAGCTACATAATGTTCAAACGGTTTCACGGGTGAATGGCGTCAGTTGCGTGAAAGAAAATATTAATGTCTGGAATTAACAGAAAAGGGGACCAGGGTTTACAAAGCCAAACAAGGAAAGAGGGCATCAAGTTAGTGTGGCGTTAATTGTTAGGGAAAATTTGAGCAGGGGGGGCGGGGGGGGAGCGCATTGTGATTTTTCTCTAGGAGCCTAAGTGCCTCACTGTCAGGGAAGTGACATCTCAACTAGGCAGGTTCTGAAAAGGGGTCGGCGGCTCAGGAATGCAACTCCCCGATTATACAAATGATGAGATGACACCTGAATGGGTGGACTTTCACCTTTTTCACTGGGAGCTTCACAAACAATGAGGCTCTTTGGGAGAAAGAGGGAGCGTGGCACTCTGGGAGGAGAAGAAAAAGCTACGAGGCCAGACGGGCGCCCGTGTCCTGGCGTGGCCCCCGGTTCTGCCATGTGGACCCGATGGGGGTCCCACACAAGAGCAAGGTGTTAAGCATCCAGGGCCTGAGTTCCATGCTGCCCTCCAAACACACAGGGGTTCGACGCTTGCCGACACAGACTAACAGCCGTTCGCTGGTCCTCCAAAAAATGCTACACCGATTCATACTCGTGACCACAATGTGTGGCCATCCTTACTTCTGCTCTTGCTTAATGACACGGTGGTCTGTCAGGCCTGCTGACACAGCTCACATGCCACAAACACTAACGGCTGACTTCAGAGCCCGGCTCGGTGCTAGGCACGATGGGGGGTGGTCACCAAGGTCAGTCAGTCCCAGAGCCTGTTTCAGTCCAGTCTCCTGCACCTGGTGGGTGGCAGACATACCAGAAATACAACGTAAGGCCCAAGAGGTGAGTGTCGAAACAGAACTGAACTCGGGGGTGATTCTAGCTCACAGGTGGGAAAGATTAGCTCCAGCTGGGGTGTCCGTGGAGGTTGAAAGAGGAGGTCCTGGTTGAGATACGGGTGGACTCGAACACGCGGGGAAGGACTGAGGTCTCTTTAGCAGGGGCCACTAGCACTGAAGCTGGGGGAGCAGGGAGGAGACCAAAACGACAAGATCTGTGTGGTGCCAAGCAAGCATTTCAATCGATCTGGAAAAATAAGTGGAAAAAATATAATGAGAAATAAAGTTTAAAAGGCAGGTATGAGTCAGAGGCCAAAGAGCTTTAAAATAACAAAATAAGGAGTTTAATTTTGTTCTGTAAGAAATATAGGGTAGTTTTGTGTTTTCTGTTTTCTTTTTAAATTTCTTAACACACATATAAAATATGCACTGGTCTCGGGAAGGTATGAAATGACAAGGACAGTCTCAACTCACTCAGACTTTCTTCATTCCCATTCTTCAAATGGGCTGGTTTCATAGGTTTATTAAAGGAAAAAAAAATACAAGAAATGATTTTAACTCAAATGTAATCATCTTACATGCCTTGGACTTCATGCTTTCACAATTAAAACAATACAGTTCACCAGGGTTTTTTGTTTGTTTGTTTGTTTTTTATAATCCACTGCATAAATTATCATTACTTATGTAACCAGCCACCAAATAATGGGTATTTACATCACTTCCAATTTTTTTTTTTTTTTACCAGTGCAAACAATACTATAATAAGTCTTCTTGTATGACTCTCTTGGAGTGCATGAGTATATTCAGAGGGAATTTTTAACTTTAGAACTGCTGGGCACATGAATATCCAAACCTTTTCTGGTCTGGATACACACTGGCACATTGTTCTTCCAAAGTTTGTCAAATTTACATTCCCACCAAGAGTATATGTTTTGTTCTTGTTTCTTTGCATGCTCCCCAAAATTGGATGTTATATGCCTTTACTCTAAAAGAACAGCAGGTGGAAAAATGGAATCTCTATTTTTCTCTAATTTTGACATTTTGAGTAAAGCTTAGGATCTTTCGTATTTTAGTGACCTACGTTTGTATTTCTTTGTCAGGGAAATTCACATCATATCATTTGCCCATTTTTCTAAGATCTCATGGTTATTTGCTTCAGGATTTGAATGAGTCTTTAATTATGGAATCAGCCATTGGCTATAAATCTTGTCATAATTTGTTTATGCTTAAGCTATTTCTTGCAATAAGTTTTTTTTGTTTTGTTTTTATTTAGTCAAATTTACCAAAGTTTTATTTATGGCTTTGTAGTTTGACATTCTGCTCAGAAGAAATTTTCTTACTATAGGATTTTAAATTGGCTCAGCTATGTTTCCTTCCACTGATCTTGTAGTTTTTCATTTATTACATGTAAGTCCTTCGTCCATCTGGAATTGTTTCAGCGTGAGGAGGGAAGCAAAGTCAGGTTTAGGTATGAACAGGAGAGTGAAAATGATCAGAGCCTAGTTTTAGAAATATAAATCTGGCATTCACTTATAATGTAGGAGGCAGAAGAAACTGACGAAAGCAAGAAAAGCTTGTGGTTGAGATAAGGCCACCCTAGGGAGCTGGGGGCCAAGCAAGAAGCTGCACCCAGACCAAAGAGGAGGCAATCTGGGCTTCACCAACCATGCTCCATAGAACCTCACCTGGAGGGATGCTCCATGGACTGAAAGGGTTAGTACATCAAAACCCACTGGGAGAAGCTGTTTACTACTTCCTTCTTTGGAATTTCGGTGTAGAGCAGAATACTGACCTCTGCTAAGAACAACGTTCAGATAACAACAATACCAACAGCTCAAAACTTTTCGACCCTGTATTTCAGAAAATTATTTCAACATAAAAATCATTTTACTAGGAGCATCTATGAACATAATATTAGATTCCACCAAATCAAAGCTCTAGAAAGTAAGATGTATGCCCAAAATTTGCCTAATGTGCATGATATAGGTATTAAAAATACGTGATCAATGAATGGATGACATTTGAAATAAGATGGCATGGGGATGAAAATCCCATAGTTTCCTTTTCATAACTTCCCTTTAGTAAAATCCCACTTCCTTATGCCTTACTATCTTCACCTGTTTATAAAAAATATACCAACCTCAGGTGCGTGGGTGGCTCAGTCA